CTTCGACGCCCGCGACGCTCTGTTATTATCTTTTGTACCCTTTCATTTTTGGCACAAGTTCGCCACATTAAACGTTTATTTCTTCCTGTTTATTATTGTTCATGGTCACCACCCGTGACAATATAGCGGCGTGTGAAATAGAGTTCTTGCAAATATTACTGTCAATTAGAACGTTTTTTCAGTTTTTCTAAGGCGTGTGGCGTTTGAATAATATATCGTATTCAAGATATCGGTTAGATTAGTAAACGTAGACTGCGATAAGCACTGAAATTGAAACTTTTAGGCTTCTTACAAAAGTAAACTCTAATTAGCGTCAATACTTTTAATAGAAATATAGCTCTGAAAAAAAAAAAAGATAAACGGAAAGGAATACAGAGAGAGAGAGAAAAAAAACGAAGACATGACGAGATATTTTTGGAATGTTACCAGCACTCTGTGATTTGTCGAGTCCCCAAACCACCTCCCAACTTACATTAAAAGTAAACAAAAAATACACGCCCAGAATTCGACATGAAAAAAAAAAAAAGGACAAATTGAAATACCTAGTACTCTGCGCTTTTGCTACACTACCGGGGAGCTTTTAACCCCTTTTCGGGCTCGCCGATCACAATGCCCCCCACTTTTTCTCTATAGCAACTGAGATCCCTTCACTGAGCGCAGAAACTTCTCATGCGCATAATTTACGCGCGCTGCAACGTTCATGGCATCTCAAGTGCCATCCTTTTCAGGCACCGCTCCCGACACCGTTTCTGTTGCAGGCGGAACTTGCGTCTTTTTTGTTTCCTTGGCGGTTGGTTCGTAACGGTATCAAGCTTCTTATTTGTACCGCTTTGTCTAGACCTTATTCAGCTGAAGGGAAGGAAAGGCGTCGAAGGTATACTGCTCTACTGTACACAGATTCCTTTGCCATTACTCTCATGGCAGTGTTTTTTTTTATCTTACAAAGTGTACACGCACCAACAAACGAAATTCTCAAGCATTACCCCACTCTAGGAGTTGTGCGTCGCGCCGCGCTACCCGATGAGGCGGAAATCGAGGAGCGATACCGCAAATCAGAGTGCTGCGACATACCTTGGATAAGAGAAACACAACTTAAAGCGACTCGTCCGTGCCTGTGCTTCACCCAGAGGGCTTAGCATTCTGTCTCCCTAAAAATGTCTTTAAACGGGCGCGGGCCCATCGGACACATATATCTGCTCCCCGGGAAAAATGTAAGAGCGGGTTTATGCTCTCATTTTCCTGATCGGTGCCACTCTAATTTCATACGATAAGCCGCAGTGGACTCTACGAACCATCGTAGCCAATCTGACGCCTTGAACATATCCCGTTACCAGTCGCCCCCGTGTCGGAATGCCCTTCTCGATGGTCGCGTGAACTCATACATGGCATCAGATTGGCTTCAACGGCTCGTAGCGTGCTCTGCGGTCTAACGTAGGGTGAAACCGAGTACAGCGGGGCTCCAAAATTTACCGCTCGCTCTTTCCTCTTCTTCCTATCATGCATCCCTGGGTCATTGCCTACTCTGCCCCTTTACATGTTTCCAGGCAGATGCAAAGACATTCATAAATGTGTTTTTTTTTTCTTTTTTTGTTCACTTTGCACAGCTAACTTTATTCAGGCATGGAAAGGTATGGACATGATTTGACTCTTGGACACTATAGTGTCCAAGGGTCAAATCATGTCTGTTCAACAGAAGGAAATCTTAAGCTTTCCTTTATCGTTCTGATTACCCAGCGGAGCAGATATTATGCCGTGCATGCATTAGGCGTCCGTTATAACTTGCTATGCTTGGTTACTTTGAGCTTTGGGTAGTTTCGGATGCGCTGCATACAATACGCACCCTTGCGTTTTCCAGGTTCACCAGAATGGTCGAGACAAGTTCAAATTTATTCAGGTGTGCGGCGTGATATACGAGCATGCTTTAATGAGAAGTTTTTTATGGGTACTGATTCTTCGGTGGCTGTGTGTAGGACCTCGCATTTTTTTGTGCTTTTGAATTGCGAGAAGCACCTTGTTTTAACTGAAGTAATCGCGAGGGAAGGAGGTTTATTGCGCACTTTACGATATCTAGTGACTTCTGTCTGAAGTTCTGAAGTCATACCCATGCTGCGCTCCCTTGCTCCCTGGCTATTTATTGGTATGTTATGATTAGGACCCTGTGTTTTCAGATAAACTTTTAAAAAATCCCGAAAAAACTCAAAGGTAAAATAGTCATTTCGGAAAAAAAAAATTATAATTTCGGCGTCTTGACGGCAAAATAATGAAAGCAATAAAAAGCAAAATCGACGATGTTTTACCACTAGTACGTGAAAGCACAGGGTCAGTGGTCATGAGGAGGGGCCACTTGAGTTTTGCTCAAAATGTTAGACTATGGACAAAATAAACTTAAGCATTTATCTCGTTAAGATTCGCTCAGAGCATAGGGTAATTTTACTCGTTAGTCACAATAAAAGCCTTTGTTCTAGTTTTCAGTCTTGAGCATGCTATTTGTGCTTCTCAGACGTAGAAAGGGCTGTGTTTTTATAACAGCGAAAGCCATGAACCTGCACAGTTCCAAGGGGGGGGGGGGGGGGGGGGGGGGGGGCAGGAAGGCAGGAGCTTCCCAGCGACTACGTCCAGGTGTTTAGTTATTTCAACTTATTGACGTTTGTTGAACCAGCGCTTCTTTTCATGATTTGTCGTGCGACAGTCCGTATTGCCATTGCCAAGATCACGAATGCCAGGTGCAGTTGCAGACATATAACTCGATGTAGGCGAGTTCTTATGGTTTAATGTACGTTTCGGTCTAGCTAAAAAGTACTTTTCATTTTAAATTCTAAAAAAAATTGAAACCACAGAACTACTAAACTTCAAATTTTTGTCAATTATGAAAAAACAAAATAAACTGCGATAATCTCCGAATTTACAGTAAAAAAAGAAACTCAAAGAAACAGTTTCCGAATCTAACAATAAAAGATTTACTCTGAAAACACGGAATTCTAGTTACGATCCCGCCGTGATGTCGTGAGTCCACGTAGGGGAGCTACGCTATTCGAGAGCACTCTTGTACAAGTACTAGAAAAAAAAGTAATAGAAAACAATTACAATTAATCTTGGTTAAAAAGTATTCAATTAGATTTCTTTATAACTTAAAAAGAAAAGTACTTGGCCGTTACTAGAAAAATGTAACCGTTACGTTCCCGCTTACAAACATATTTTTAACGACAGACTTTTCTGCTTGTTTGAAAACGAGTGTTTCGTACTGTATCATCATTGATTTAGAATCACCAATCTATAAACTATTTATGTTCTTAATCATCAATTTCGGTAAACCGTCCTCTTATCTGATGGATCTTTTGTAGGAAAAAATCCTCTTTTCGAGGATTTTTTTTGTAGGAAACTTGTACAAGCAAAGAGTGCCAATAGAAAGGGAAAAAATGGTAACGGTTGCAATTAAATTTGGTACTTCCAAAAGTAATCGATTGCACGTTATTTTCATTACTTGTCATGGGTAGCGCACAAGTCTGTACGGGAACCAGCTGCGCGTTCGGACGGTTGCCTGCGGACCAAGTATGCTGGTCTAAGGGTGACTCGCCGCTCATGGGCGCCGAGACCTCAAGTGGATACGATAGTCGCCAAAGCTAAGTGGGCAGTAATGCCCCTGGCAATTAGAGACTGGTATTGAGAATTCGCCACATAGAAGGCGCCTAAAAGAAATGGACATTAGATGTTAGTTTTTTAGACAACGTGAGACCGGCCTGTCATAGTGTTGCGACACTGGTTCACGCAGTGGATGAGAAGATTAACAAGTGGAGTATACGACTCACAGCCTGAAATTATTATCATCGGGCGGTAGCGATGATACACGACCGTAGGCCTGCATGACTTTAATCCAGATTGAAATGGGTACGGGTGTCGATCGAGCCAAGGATCTATAGGTTCTCCAGCAAGGGAGCTTTCTTTGTCGGTGCTCGCGCAAACTGCGGTGCTCTAGCACACTCGAATGCGTGATATGACGGGTGTACGGCTACTAGAGGTGGTGTGCGTTCTAATTAGCTGTGTGTTCTTCACCCGAAACAAACTTTTACGTTGCATTCTTAGTAAACAGGCACAAATCGTAATACGGGCAGAATTTTGTAGGTTTTTCTTCGGCAGGTGCTTTATAAATTACAGAAATTATTGAATAATAGAAAAATTGGAGTTTGTTTGCGCGATCTAATACCGAAGTCAAAGATTACCTTTGTGCTGCAGGCAGTTTCCGTCCCATCAAATGCTGCGCGGCTACTGATAACGAAAATAATACATGGAGAGAAGTAGCAAACTGCTTTAGTTCTCTCCAAGAATATCAGAAAGTGCATTATTTTTATTTCATGTAGTCTTGCCGTAACGTTCCATGTTGTTCGAATCTGAAACTGAAATTTAGCGGGCTTACGTATGCTTGCCAATGAAGGCCACCTCATGTTCTTCAGAAAAGGACTGAGAATTTGTTTTGTTCATCTGCGATTTCAAACGCGCAACGAATTTATTGGATACACGGCAACTTCTCGGGAGTAAGCCTTCATGAGGGCCTATCGCTACCGGGTTTGGCACCCGCGAGCCGGGGATATCTAGACCTGTCCCTTGTCTCGGAGGCGGTCAGGCGATGAATTGAAACTCACAAGGAAGAAATATGAGCCTTTAACTTGACTGGTGTTTTGGCTGAAGTGCATTATCAGGTAAAAGTGCACCGGTGTACGTGTCGCGGTAAAAGAAGTGTTGTTTGGTTTGTAGACGTCAAAATAGAATGCAAATTAATGATAGACTACATTACTTTATATATATGAGACCTTATACCTTCTTCAAGAAGTAAAAAAAATAATATTAATCTACTTGCACTCGTACGCAATGTTATAAGTCTATTGCACAAAACGCCACAAAAGAAAAAGAAAAAAACAAAAAAACATCGAATTTGTTGTCCAGTTGTACCGCATTTGATTTGTTTGTTTAACTAGAAACAAGACAAGCGAATGCCTGGGACTTACCTCCTAGAATTTCGCAGACAAGCACCAAGTTTTCTCCCTCGGTATAAGGACCCACGGCGTCATGAATTGTTGCTCCATCGACGTTTTTGATGGAGAACTCGGATGGAGGCACTGCACAAGAAAGAGTCAAATGAAACAAATATTATAAATGCAAAATTAAGGCGGTGTAGTTTTTATTTCTGTAACTTTGGTAACTTGACGTTTTTAATCTGAATCCGAAATAAATCAGTATAGACTTTAATGTCAGTAATCGAAACTACAAGATGTACTATGAAGGCATACAACGTGACAGCAAAATATCGTAAAAAAATGTCAGTCGGAAAAATCAAATAGAGCGCCTAATATAATTCCAACGTTTTATATAGTTTGCGCGACTTTACAAGTAGGTTTGTTTGTTTGAATTAAATGCGATGGCCTACATTTACAACATGTGGAAATAAGGCCCGTTCACACCGTAGCGTCCTTTTTTACGTTTTCTTAAGTTACAGGACCTTACGTTTACTTAAGGTCGGTTCACGCTGGGGCGCTTTCCTACGTTAGGACGACCTTTACATCGCGAGTCACCCGGACATCCGTGCTTCCAATGAAACGTGGCGACCGGTTTAAGGAGCAGCTTTGCCCGCGACATACAAAACGCGAATGTACCGGCGACTCCTAACGCAACGTAAGAAATCGTAAGCAAATGCTACTGTGTGAACCGACCTTAAAGGCTCGTTCACACAGACCCGTTTTCTTACGATACGTTACGAAAAGTCACCGGGAAGTCTGTGCTTCGTATTAAGCGTGACTACCAATTCAAGGAGACAGCCTGGCAAGCGACATTCGAGACACCAATGTTTCGGTGACTTAGACGTAACGTACGAATACGGTACAGTGTGAAAAGTTGAACCGAGCTCAACTCCTTGCGTTACGACGAGCCTTGTGTCCTTGGTTGTCACGGCAACACACCGTTCTAGCTCGTCGTCACCGAAACACTCAATAAGCAAAAATAACGCGTGTCGAAAAAATAAATCGAAAACTTTTTGCCTAAGGGACTACAATACCTTTCGCATTCCCACAAGTAAGCAATCTTAAGTGTCTGTGCCGTACATCTTTTTGTATTCTTTTGCTACAGCACCTCAGACACCTGTATGTCTTGAAATAGCGATTATTATCATTATTATTAACTCACGCACACTGGTTGTCGTAATATTTATTTTTATTTGCACAACATGTACACGGGAGAACCGCTAAGCGGTCCGGGTCATCCTAAGTTCAGTGTGTCTTCACGTTTATATGGCCGTCTGCATGTTCACGTTCAAAAGGCAAATCACCGTAGACCGTTCTCTCTTTTCAAATGACAACGAACCGTACACTACATGAAGGTATATGCACGCTGTCTTCATGATATTTGCGAAATAAAATAGTCATAAGCCTGTAAAGACTTATAAACTTAATGGAGGTTCAGGCGGAATCGACTTAGTATAAACATTAAATACAAGGTGGTGCTGGACATTGTAACTGGTAGAAAACGCCTTCTTGTTAAGTCTTATTTACGTGATCCGCCTCCTCTTGAAGTGATCAGTTTCGACATCGAGCACCGCGCAGTTTCCGTCTACAATTATTTTGCAGCACGAGGGACCTCGCAATCGCAAATAGCGGGCAGAATCTCATTCGGAATCTTTAGGCCATTCCCAAAAGCTATGCGATGGTAGCAAGGACCAACTCGAGTGGCCTGCCACTCTGCAGAGCTCGGCTACCCTCTCCCTCTTACCGGCAGCCGGGCCGCTGATTAATGGAGGGGGCTTCGCTGTGGGGTGGCGTTCCTTGAAACTATGGCGCGCGCCAGCCAATAGGAATGCATCCATCAATTCGCTGATACAGGCTACAGGCTTCACTCCATATAACAGGGAAATTCAGCTGCCGTTTGGTGATAACGCGGGTTGGCTCCATAAAACCAATAAATGCTTTCGCATTAAAAAAAAAAACAAAAAAAAACGGCAGGACAAATTTTTGACGTTACCTAGCCGCTCCTTCCAGAAGGTATGTGCGGACAGCAAACCTGCGGCTTCCGAAGAATCACACTCTTTTTATTTATTGCAAATAAACGTATCGTTTGACTAATAAACTTGATGAACGTCATTGAAAACTACTCTATAAGTGAATATTCGAAAGATTTTAAGCACGTGGTGCGCTAAAGTTACCACTCGAATTACGGCCTATAGGCGGGTGGTTTGGAACCGCACAAGAGAAAAACAAAAACGCGCGAGCGTGTCGAATTCGGAAGCATTTTTGTGACGAATGACGAGGCGCCGGAGTGCCTCTCGTGCCAGCTCCTCGTGCAAGCCGCTCCCATGATCTGCTCGTGATCGTGATCATGATCAAAGCAGGTGGACATCCGTTTCTTCTAGCTATAATGCTATGTTCGCACGACTAAAGCTCCTCAATCTGTTTACGTTTGTCTTGAAAGTAGTGTCAAATGCGCCAGTGCACAAGGCCCGTGTCTCTTGCGGACCTTGGAAGCAAATGGCGACGCAGCGCTGAATTGAGCGGCCCTTTGGAGCGAAAGGCCGCTCGTGGTACGTGTCTGGCGTGTTTCCACCACAATGGCTGGCGGTACTTGACAAAAAAAAATAAAAACGCCTTTATCAAGGAGATTTACATCCGCCTAAAGCCCCTGGATGTGTTTACGTTTGTTTTCCAAGTAACGTAAAACACGCCAGAGCACGAGGCGCGTGTCTCGAGCGACCCTTGGAAGCAAAATGGAGGCGCAGCACTGAAATGAGCGGCCCTTCCTTGGAAGCGATTGGTGGCGGAACACCCTTCCATGGCACGCGTTTTGCGTGGTGGCCAGAGACATGAAGCCCCTCGATATGTTTGCGTTTCTCTTGCAAGTAGCATCAAATGTGCCAGTGCACGAGACCTGTGTCTCGAGGGGCCCTTGGAAGCAAATGGCACAAACACAGCAATGAACGCGCCCTCCTACGCTTTTATGGAAAGATGTATACTCCATTCCTGGCGCGGACGCGTGGCTTCATTTATGGTTTCGTTTGCGCGAGACAAGTGCATAGTTCAAAGTCTACGGGACATTCGTGGTGTCCCATCGAAGTAAATATCCAAAATAAAGCGCTGACAAACGCGTGTGCAAGATGTCATGTGTTTTAGGTATTTGCTTTAGAAAAGTCAGCACGTGCGGCGCGTGGAACACCAATCCCTGCGTTCTCCTTGAAGCTTGGGTAATATAACAGGTTTCGTACGTTCCCATGCATCATAGTTTCAAAAAAGACAAAATGAAATTTTATTTGTGATAAACGGCAAAATCTGCAATTTCAGATTTTAAATAAATTTTGATGTTTATTTGAGAACAATCGAAAGAGAGCCACCCACAAATTCTCTTTGATAGTTGGGTAATTTAGTAATACAGGGTGAAACAAGGAGACGCCGGGCTCTTTAAATCGACCGGAAAATTCGGTTTCTTAACCTTTCGCGCTACGACTTTGTGCAGCGTTGTCCACAGATGGTGCATTTTTTTGTGTAAAATTTGCAAAGAGCGAACTTACCTGAGGAAAAAGTAAAGAAAGAAAAAGGCTTAGCTCCTATGGGAACGCAGCGACGCCACCGGTCTGCAAACAACACGGAGCCGTTTCGCACTGGAGACAAGAGATGGCGCAACAAACACCGCCAACGAACGAGCATACGGCGCCGAGAGCAGGCCTTTTTAGCAGATGATCTTTTTGGCAAGCGGCGCGCGTTCGGCAGGCGGCGACAGTCGCAGAAACAAAAAAGACAGGCGCGGTAACAGCAAGGAACTGCAGTTCCTTGTCTGCAAAAGGGCCGGCTCTCGGCGTCGTCTGCTCGTTCGTTGGTGGCAGTTGGCGTCGCGACCGCTTGCGCCATCCCTTGACTCCCGTGCGAAACGGCGCTGTGGTGTTTGCAGACCGGTGGCTTCGCTGCGTTTCCATAGGAGCTAAGCCTTTTTCTTTCTTTTCTTTTTCCTCAGGTAAGTTCGCTCTTTGCAAATTTTACAAAAAAATGCACCATCTGTGGGCAACGCTGCACAAAGTCGTAGCGCGATAGGTTAAGAAACCGAATTTTCCGGTCGATTTAAAGAGCCTGCCGTCTCCTTGTTTCACCCTGTAGGTTTATAGGCTCAGCTGCGCTAAACGGACAATCGTATGGCGTTGAAGTGGCTGGGGGCACATATAACCTTCTCTACTCCTTTCGAGTCACACACCTCGCCCCTACAGTTTACTTTAGGTCAAATGTTTACCGTCATGCAGGTGCACTCGTACACGTCTGCGCAGTGAAACCGTTACATTTTTATTTTTTCCGTTGTCAAACTGTAACAGATTAAATGGTTAAAATTTTAAGCGCGATTAAATCAATAATTGATTCATCGGTAGGTTATTAGATCAAGTGCTCAGACCTAGTTATAACGCAACGTAGGAAAACAAGCAAACGCCACTGCATGAGAGGACGTTGCCTCGTTCAGCAGTTTGAAGAGCAATGGACGGGATAGAGTGAACAGGCGCAATCTCTTACGGCCTTTGCACCATGAGAAGTTGCTCCATGCGGTGGCAGTTTGGAGGGGTCGCTGTAACCCTACCGCACCTACACCGTGTTGTCCTCTTTGCTCCGGGGTTGAGTTGGATAAGTTTCTAGAGTAATTACACCTACAGGGTCCCTATGTTGCACGTGTTGGACTCTCACGGCGACTACAAAGAGGGAAGTGACGTCAACAACGCAGCAAATGCAGATTGGATGTGGACTTATCTCTCATCAATCAACATCCAATCTGCATTTGCTGCGTTGTTGACGTCACTTCCTTCTCCGTAGTCACCGTGGGAGTCCAAAATGTGCAACATAGGGCGCCAGGTCGTGAGGCGGGCTTCCTTCAGGGACTTATGCAGAACACGTCTTTCTCTTCGTCTCCTTAAGTAAAAAGTTTGTATAGGCAAGCATTCAATTATTGTAAGCCGAAAATTATTTCAATCGGCTCACTACAGTTAATTCAAGCAAATATAATTGCACACATCTTTAATCGCAGTGGTCGGAAAACAGTTGTTCAGGATGGCTCAGGCAGCATTGGGCATGGTAGTGGAGTCGCACCCCTACGCGGCTAATGAAGTCCC